GGAAACTACATCACTTCTTATAACTGATTACAATTTAGTGATTTTACACAAGGTGTCCAACAGGGGGTGCTAAAGTTAGGACACTTTTTTATGTGGGAGATTGCATCATACTGACTACAGATAATTAACAGGTTATCTTTTCTATACCATGTTAGCTGCTGCTGCTGCTGCTGAGTCGCTTCAGTCCTGTCCGACTCTGTGCGACCCCATAGAGGGCAGCCCACCAGGCTCCCCCGTCCCTGGGATTCTCCAGGCGAGAACACTGGAGTGGGTTGCCATTTCCTTCTCCAGTGCATGAAAGTGAAAATGAAAGTGAAGTCGCTCAGTCCTGTCCAACTTTTAGTGACCCCATGGACTGCAGCCTGCCAGGCTCCTCTGTCCATGGGATTTTCCAGGCAACGAGTACTGGAGTGGGGTGCCATTGCCTTCTGCAATACCATGTTAAGATGAATACTATTCAAGAATACTAGGATGGGAAGGAGGGAAAAAAAAAAAAAACTTGGCAAAAGGGTGTTCTGTCCATCTGAATCTCTCTGTCTTCATGTTCTTTTATGTTCCTTGAAAGTTGACTTTCCCTAGTAAAAAAGGGGAGCAGTGAGAAAAGGGTAGAAAGGAGATTCTTAAGTAAAGGTCACTTTTTAATTGATAAAGAAAAGCTAGTAATATTTTGTAAAGGTTAGTCAGCAAATATTTGTTAAGGATCAGCCAAGTTTCTTCACGCCTATTGAGACTAACAATTGCACCTACTTGAATGAGATGTAGTGAGGATTAAATCAGTTAAAACATGTAAAATCAGGTCTGGTATTTAATAAAAACTCAGTAAATAGTAGCTTGTAAGGGTTCTGCAATATATTCAGAAAATAAGACATGTAAAAACAATGTTTTAGGATGCAAAGGAGTCTGTGTGTGTGTGTGTATGAGTTAGGTGATGAAAATTAAGACTGAGAATCTTTGGCTGGTAGGAAAGTGTTTACAAAGAAAGGACTAATTTATCTGAGGTCTAAATGATGGAAAAAATTAAAGAATTATTCCAAAGGAAGAATGAGATGATGTGAAATGTGGAGTAATTGGAGACATGAAGAGAATAAGCAGAATTGATTATTAGGGGAGAGTGAGTCAAGTGTTTGGACAATTCTCTGTAGGCAAAAGACAGTCACTGATATTTTTGAGTAAGTGAGTAATATGAAGAAATTAATTTTAAGGCTGTTAATTTAAATGTAGAATTCAAACTAAAGAGAAGACAGTAGAGAGAGGAGTCAAGATGTCAGTAAGATGCACGTATTCACCAACAGGGAACAAAACCCAACTTAAGTGATGGCAGCGATAACAGAAAAATAAATGGGTAAAACAACAATTTCGGTGGATCAAGAGACAAAGCATTGCAATAGGTTTTCCCTTTTACAATTTCATCACAGCAGTCTCTTTTTTTTTCAATAGTATGGTTGAAGATATTTAATGCAAAAATTTGATCATACGTAAAAGCAGAGGTATAGTGAAGTCCCATATTTTGATCAACCAGTTTCAATAACCATTGGTGTTATCAATACCAATATAGCTTCATCTATCTTCACCCCTCACCACCCTTCCCCTATGGACTAATTTGAGACAAATTCCAGACATCACATTATTTTAATCTCAACAGCAGTCTCATCTTGAAATCAGTTACTAGATGACTCTCCCTATAAAACAAAATCTTAGCTACTTCCTTGATGATTGAATTAGATGAAGCATGTGAATCTAAGTTTTCTTACTACAACTTGCCCCTAAGAATCTCCTGCTGAAAATACTGTCATCATTTTTTTCTGTCTTTATACCTTTTGCCACACCCTAAAGTATCTCCATCTTCCCCCAAGGCCCTGACATTTCCTCCCACCCCTCAAAATTGATATCAAAAGCCAAGTTTAGGTAAGGCCTACAAACAACATTTGCCCTTCTCTGTAAACATTTTAGAGCACTTAGCAAACACCAACATGGACTGTGTATCCGTCTCATCATATCTACAAGACCGGATGTCTAGGAGCAGAAATCAATGGTATCTTGACATCATTGTCAGCATCTGTCCTGTTTTGTACATACAAGATACTCAATAAATATTTGCTGAATGAATGAATGTGATGTTGTCATTTATTGGCACAGCTTTATTGTTACAGTGCTCCAAAGATTCTTCGTATCTAAGGAAGAGAGAAATTTGGTGTTGTCTTTCCTAGACTAAGAGAGGTAGGGATCCTTTCTTAGGATCCCTAAGGGATCCCAATGGCTAAGGGATCCCTAGTTCATTGACGAAAAAGAAACAAAGTGGGTAAAACTGGAGGAACACACAGAATATCCAGTCCCTCCCTGGGCTCTTGCATCAGAAGAAAAGTCTGAATCATAGTTTATGGGAGACTGATAACGAGGTACCTGCTGTCATGCTCACATGAGCTCTTATTTTGTGGTGAGAGTGTCAATTTTAAATACCACCAGTTTAAGATTTGTTATATTAGGGGACAATTTACATTTAGGGCACTCTAACTTTTTAATTCCATGAATATTTCTGCAGTATCATCTACCCACAACAGAGAAATGAGAGTCTTGTGGAGGTGTTCTAAAGGAATTAAACCCAAGGTGGCACTCTTTGGAATGGGTTAAGAAACCACCTGCCAATGCAGGAGATTCTAGAGAGTGGGTTCGATCCCTGGGTCAGGAAGAGTTCCTGGAGTAGGAAATGGCAAGTGTTCAGTATTCTTGCCTGGAAAATTCCATGGACAGAAGAGCCTGGTGGGCTACAGTCCATGGAGTCACAAAGAGTCGGACATGGCTGAGTGACTGAATACACACACACACAAGAATTCCAAAGTGAGAAAATTAATTATTCTAGTAGAGTGCTTTGCACTTTATACTTAACTTTTTCTTACATCTCAGCATATGTTAAAATGAAGCTGGAAATAGATATTATTAATATTTCCATTGCTTCAAGAAAGGATACTGATAGCACCTGGGAATCAGTGTGCTCATTGCCCAGGGTCACACAGTTAGTGAATGATGGTATCAATGTATCTCTATATACAGTTATATTGGATAATGGAAAATAAAAAAAACATTTTAGTGGTCAAGGACCACAAAACAAATATTAAAATGTTTGACCCTCCTTTGTTCAGATGTTTCTTTTCACATTATTTACTGTAACTTTCTACATCTCAAGTGTCTTCACATGAATACATGAGATTTTTAAATGTACTGTAAAGAATCATGAAGATAAATTGACACTACACATGTGGGTATGCACACTGCAAGGTGTTGCCCAGAAGAGACACTAGATGAATGCTAGTTTCCTATTATTCCACAACCCTTCTCTTGTGGGAAAACATTCATGGATGCATACACTATAAACAATGCATATGCACACATACAAACATACTGATGCAAACGTTGGCCTAGTGCTTATACAAGAGAAGAGCTGCTACATAGAGCATCAACCTATAAAACTGATACGCATTCAGTTAAACCTGGCTGTACCTATTACTAATGCCACTCAGCCGACGCGTCCAGGATTTCACAAGAGGACTCTTGTGATGTGTACAAACAACACCAAGTGACTGAAGCTGGCAGGGTGTGAGTTGGATTGGGTGGTGGGGGTCAGGGGTGGACTCAAACACATCCAGTGCAAATCATTAAAGGGTGATGTTCTCTGTCCTAAAAATCTGTGATTATTTCAAGTTCACATAGGACCTCAGAGACTGTACAATTTCTTTTCATATCCCTTTGTGTGTTAGTCACTCAGTCCTGTCGGATTCTGCAATCCCAAGGACCGTAGCCTCCCAGCCTCCTCTGTCCATGGAATTCTGTAGGCAAGAATACTGGCGTGGGTAGCCATTCCCTTCTCCAGGGGATCTTTCCAACCCGGGGATTGAACCCAGGTCTCCTGCCTTGCAGACAGAGTCTTTACCATCTGAGCCAGGAGAGAAGACCTCATATTTCAATCCCTGGTAGTAAAATAACCCTATATGGGCTCACAGAGAAATCAGCATTATATTTCACAGATTCTACTCTAGGACAGAGGGAGAATTAATAAGCTGATCCATTGAACATAAAAATAGGAGAAAGTGTTGTGATTTACGCTGACTTTTTAGCTAAAGGGAATTGGAACTTAGAGCCAGTAAAAGTGAAGTCGCTCAGTTGTGCCCGACTCTTTGCGACCGCATGGACTGTGGTCTACCAGGCTCCTCTGCCCATGGGATTTTCCAGGCAAGCATGCTGGAGTGGGCTGCCATTTCCTCCTCCAGGAAATCTACCCAGCCCAGGGATTGAACCCGAGTCTCCTGCATTGTAGGCAGACGCTTTACCTTCTGAGCCACCAGGAAAGTCGATAATTAAAATTCCTGTTAAAATATCCCTTAGAGCCACTACATATGCTGGTAAATGAAAAATTCAGTGGGATGGTTGAGATTCAATAGAATCCTGCATCTTTTGAAACAGTTTTTACTGGAAAATATACCCCAAATAACCTTCGAAGTATTTGTACTTAGGGAAACTCTGCATTAATTCTGAGTTTGACTTTTTAAAAGAGATTTTGCTTATTTCCTTCTGTTCTCAGTAAGAACCATAATTTAAACTGAGCCCAATTTCCTTCTTTGTATTAAGAATACACATAAATCAAACTTTCAACTTGTCTCAGTTTACTTACTTATCAAAACAAATCAAATGAGCATGACATTTTAAAATAAAGATTTTTCAATGGGGAGTCACTTTCCACTAGGGTGCTAAAATAAAGCAAAGCACAATTGTCTTTACATTGCTTTTTTCTATCTCATACTACTTTTAAACACTCTCTGCCCCAAATCATGTAGGATTTTTCATTCATTCACAACCTAGTTGCGATCAAGTGTTTCTTTACTTTCGGCAATTTCCAAAAAGCATAGAATTCCCCCTCAAAGAGACATAATTCGCCACTGTTTCAAAGAAGTTCGCTGCAACTTTTCAAAACAAGAATTCCAAGAGAGGAATTCTAAGAATGTTTATGGAGTGGCGGTTATAATTGGAATAAGGAAAACCACGTTCAAAATATCTATCTTGGTTGGGTAATTTAAGGAGCACGGATCCCACTAAAATCGGGTCACGCCGCTTTATAGATATCCTTAATCAATGGAAAGCCTTGTAAGGAACATCCAGTTTTATGGGAGGTGGGAGCATCACTTCCTGGACTCTAATGAAGAGTTGTGATGCGGAAGCGCACAACGCAGAAGCGTCTACGCAGAATCACCGCCTTCTGCGGGGTATATAAGGCAGCAAGACGAAGGAGAAACCTGAGACACTCACTTCTTTCCAACAGACAACCTGCCCTTGAAATCTCACCATGTCTTGCCACAACTACTGCTCCGGAAGCTACCCCTTGGTGTCTCTCAGGAGTCCCTGTCACATTCCCGCCTCCTCCTCCGTCGGCCTCTACTCTCCGAGTGTCAGCGTCGGAGATGCTCTCTGCTTGCCCAGCAGCTGTCAGGACCGAACCTGGATCCTGAGCAACGGCCAGGAGACCTGCAGTGAACCCACCAGCTGCCAGCCAGCCAACTGCGGGCCCAGCAGCTGTGAAACTTCCAGCTGCCCTTCCGGTTGCTATGTGCCAAGACCCGGCCAAGGAACCAGCTGTCTTCCTGCTTCTTCTTACCTCTCTGGGTCCTGCCTCTCCGTGTCTTACAGGCCGCTGACCTACGCGGCCAGCAGCTGGCGACCCTCGAGCCTTCTCCCCTGCGGATATCGCCCCTCGGGTTCTCTGTCCTGTGGTCCTCAACCCATCAGCATTGTGTCCAGCGGCCTCAGACCTCTGCGCCCTGTCTTCAGTGGATGCCAGACTCTGCCGTATGTGTTCAGTCCTTACCGTCCATCTTGCTCTACCTGCGGAGGCCTGTAGCTTCTTTATTCCAGCCAATAACGACGCTGAAGATCCCAGACGAAAATTCAAACTCCACCCGCTTCTGCTCCTTTCCTAGTAGTGACTGCTTTTTCTTGATTTTTTCCTGGGCCTGATCCAATGAAAGCTGTTCCTTTCCCACTTTCATCTTTTTTTCACCTCTCCTTAGCATAAAATTATGATTTGCAATGCTCTTCAATGTTGATTGGGTGTGGGAAGGATTTATTTGGTTTGGATTATAATAAATGAGTTTAAGTCAAAACTAAGAATCTGGTTCTTCAGTTTGTCTTTAACACATGCGTGACTAACCTCAACTGCCTGCAAGAGAAGTGGCTAGGACTTGGTACTCTCAACTAGGTGATTTTACCTCATATTAGTGGACTAGCTTGATGGTTTATTCCGCAAACTGCTTTCTAGATCTCTGATACCTCTGATCCTACATCCTTAAGACACCCAAAAAGCCTTTGGTGGGAGTTATTTTGAAAAAAGGCAAAATGGGGAATGATCTATCTTTCTCTTCCAGTGAACATGCCTTGACCAGAACATCCTTTCTAATTGAAAACTGAAGATATTTCACTCATGCTTAAGCCTTTGATGGCTTCTTATGATCAATTCCTATAAAATAAAAATACAAACTCCTTATCATTACATTTGTTTGTTGCTTATTATTATTGTTTTTTCATTGTCTTTCTCCTTCCCACTTACTTGGCTCGGCTTTCTTTTCTTCTCAATACTGCAAATGTTAAGGTCCGATGAGTTTGACATGCACGTAGCTACCCAACATGCTGTGGGTTTTTTTTGTTTTTCTTTAAGCATCAATGCTTTTTACATATGCTATCAACAAGACCAGGATAAACTTCTAATCTATCCACTTTGAAGACTCATGCACATTTTTAAAAACACAGCTGAACTTTATTACACTGTTGCTTTATTCAGCTAAACTTTTATTACATACCTACTAAATCCCAAGTCACCTGTGTTAGGTACAAGCGATACAGAGGTGAATAAGACAAACTTGAACTGTCTCAGTATTTACCAGAAGTAATATCCTATGGGACATGCCCGTATTAAAGGTACACTTTTTTTCTTCATTCAACATAAAATGTGTAGCAATATATATTTATACATATAAAAATAAAATAAGGGCCTTCCTTGGCGGTCCAGTGGTTAAGACTCTGTGCTTCCAGCACAGGGCGCTGGTTTGACCCCTGATCAGGGAGCGGTCAGCTACAAGCTGGCACTTGCCACGTTGTTCTGCAGTCGCTAAGTTGTGTCTGACTCTTTGCGACCCCATGAACATCAGGCTTCCCTGTCCTTCACTGTCTCCAGGAGTTTGCTCACACTCGTGTCCACTGAGTAGGTGATGCCACTTGCTGTTTATCACTACAAGGATTAACTCCCATGCTGTTGAAGCTGCTGACCTTCAGCACTCCGGGGGAAGGAGTCCAGGGTGGAGAGCCGAAGTGAGGCACTCTATTCTTGGAGCGGTGGGGGAGGGAACTGGCAGGACAGGACTTCAGATAGCTTGATATTTTCAGGAGCTGATTTTATGAGCGCAGTTCTTATATCTCCCCATATCTGGAAAAGCACTAAAATCCTTCATGGTGATGATTGCTCCTCATGACTAACAGAAATCTTCTTGAAACTAGTAGAAATCTTCTGGAAAAATATGTACTCCATTGTTTGTATTCCCCCTTCACCGAAATTGCATAGGTACTGACCTTTGCCCCTCCCTCTTTGGAGCAGTCTCTCAGAGCTCTCTGAGGTACTGTCTTCCGGGATGCAGTCCTCATTTTGCCCCAAATTAAACTTAACTCGCAACTCTCATGTTGTATATTTTTTTTAAGTTGACAGAACTAAGATCCACATGCCACAGAATTTAGTCATAAATAAATAAAGCACTGCTTTATCAGCAATCAGAAATATACATTTAATAAATAAATGAAACTATAAATACATAAGTTGGTTAAAAACTAAAGTGTAAATGTATGCATATTCACCTTTTAGAAAAATGGTAATAGCTAGAAGCTTCATCAATGACAAGCAAGAAAACAGTGACCTCGAAGTACTAACTAGTACTAACTCTAAAGGCTGATCCCTTTAGAGAAGTCGTACGCCTTTGGTTATCAGAACTCATCTCTCCTTTGGACTTTCTGATGTGGAAGCTGAATGGTAGTTCCTCTGATCACTGTGTTCATACTGCTGTTTCCAAATCCATTCTAGTTCTTATGTGGCCTTACTTGCCTGACTCTTCTAGAATTTTGAGTCTGAGACATCTGGACCCTTTATGTTTTGAAGTTGTTCCCAGGCCCTCTCCACCCTAATGAATAAATCACACCTCAACTTAGCCTTCCTTTTATCTCAGACATACTTCTATTGCTGATCTTGTTGGAGTAATTTTTAAAATAATTTTAATGAGATTTTAATTGAACTTGTAACTGAGCGGGACCCTAGGGGTCTTCCCATGACAGGCCTTCCAGTATATCCTCAGCTTTACTTCCTCTCTGAAATACCTAATGATAGGATGTTATGCACATTTCCTGAGTTGTTTTGGAGATGTAAAATACCTCCCCTCTCCAACAAGTGGAAGATGTTAACTACTTGAGGACCACATAGCCCCAAGCCTCCTAAGGACTGATCATGTTAACCCTGTGGCATCACCCAGCTATTTCACCATCAGTTAGAGAGTTGTGCACAGGCTGATCACAGATACTGGGACCCCCTTCCTTCATCTGGCTTTTAAAAAAGTTTTACCAAAACCCTTGGGTGGGGTGAGCTCAAGGCTTTTTAGAGCAGAAGCCACAACTACATCTCCTTACTTGGCTTGTGGTAAATCTTTCTTTGCTCCAAACTCCAACATTTTAGTAAGTTTGCCCTCACTGTACATAGGGCACGTGAACTTCTGTTACAAAATGTGACATACAAATGAATTTATACACAAATTATTACTCTACAGATGTAGCCTTTGTTCTTATTTCTAACCTATATATTAGTTTTGTCTGTTTTTAAAATTTAAAATGAAATTATATAGTATCGACCCATTTGTCTCGGCTTCTTTTATTAAATACTGTGCTTGTGTGATTCTTCCATGCTGTTAAACATGCCAGTAGACTATTTATTTTCCTCTGTGTATAATATTCAAGGTGCTAAAACATCAAAATGTATTTATGCATTGTGCCATTGCTGATCAGAAGAGTTGTTTCCATTTTGGATCTGTTACAAATAATGTATGAAATACTCTTTTATTCTTGCACATATCTTTTGATATACAAATGGAGATATTTCTATTGGGTAATATATTTAGGAGTAAAGCTGACAAATTATATGAAATGTACCTGTTCAGCTTTATTTTATACCATGACAAAGTTATGCCCTGTGGTTATACTAATATTGATTTCTTCTCTCAAAAGCATAAGAATTCCAGTTGCTTTACATCCTCATCAATATTTATAATTGTTAGTTCTTTTAAGCATGGCCATTCTAGTGAGTATGTAGTTATAACAAACATTGGTTTTAGCTTGAATTTCCCTGATGACTTATCAGGTTGAGAAAATTTTTTAAATGTCTCTTGGCCATTTGAATATCTTTTGTGTGCCTGTGTGTGTGTGTGTGTGTGTGTGTGTGTGTGTGAGTGTGCGTGCATGCACGAGCGCATGGCATGCGCAGAGTAGACAGTCAGGTCCTTAGTTCATGGTTTTATTTGATATTTCTGCTTTCAGTATGAGAATAGTTCATTATGTAGTATAGATATTGAGTCTTTGTTGAATATACATAATTTTGTTTGCTTTTAAATATATTTTCCTATATCACTGGACACCTTTTCACTTAATTGTGTCTTTAGACTGAAACGGTTTCCTTACTTAAAGTTAGTTCAATTTATTAATCTTTTGTTTGTGGATAGTTTTTTTTTTTTTTTTTTTTTTGTGGGGACGGGGCTTCAAAAAGGTGTGCATATGCTCAATGGTCAGTTCCCTCAGTCCTGTTCAACTCTTTGTGACCCCAAGGACGACCAGGCTTCTCTGTCCGTGGTTCAGTAGTCAAGTATGTGCCCACCAAGGAGCACATGTGGGTTTGATCCCAGGTTGGAAAGATGCCCTGAAGAAGGAAATGACAGCCTAATTCAGTATTCTTGCTGGGAAAACCTGTGGAGACTACTGTTCACAGGGTTGAGAAGAGTTGAACACAACTTAATGACTAAACAACAGCAGCAGCTATATGGTAACTTTAGAAAAATGTTTTCTCTTCAACATTTAAATATGCTTTCAGTGTAAAATGATGTGTGTGTGTGTGTGTGTGTGTGTGTGCATATCCTAAGGGTCAAATTCCATTTGATCCAGCCCCATCTCCCAAAAACTTGCTTCATTTCCTACTACAGTTCAGTGCCCTTGGGACATAAATCAAGCATCTATATATGGGTGTGCCAATATCTAAACTCTTTGTTCTGTTCTATTCACCACGTGTCTATTATTCCATCAGTGTCATGCTTAATTTTTCATTGTTTTATTTGTATTTCTGGGCTCTGCTCCAGAAGCTCTCTGAAGGTTCATTTTGGTTCATATATATAGCTAGTGGTTTACTCACGAAGTTGTGTATCACTCTTACGACCCCACGGACTACAGAGGGTAGTCCCCTCTGTGTGACCCCACACCCCACAGAGGAACCAGGCTCCTCTGTCCATGGGATTCTCCAGGAAAGAATACTGGAGTGGGTTGCCATTTCCTTCTCCAGAGGCCTTCGCAACCCAGGGACTGAACCCAGTCTCCTGAATTGTAGGCAGATTCTTTACCAACTGAGCTACAAGGGAAGCCCAATATATGACTAAGATCTCCATAAAATTTTGTTGATTTGAGTTTAAGTAAATATGTTTTGGATCAGATTGTAGTGAAATCTAGGGGAAGAAGTATTCAGTTTAGGATAGTACTAATAAGAAATTCTACATGATACATGTTTTTCCATTTTTAGTTTTATTCTGAGTGGCTGAAGACAAATATTCGTTTATCATCTCCTCATAGTTCACAATTCAAAGGGCTAGAAATTAAGGGAAATTTGATATCCAATATTCCATGACTATATAGGACCTGCTGATAGCTATAGATTAGTCTACATGTGATAATTTTCTGTTGCCAGCTGTGGTTCTTTTTGTTATTTAATTAATTTAATTACTTTAATATCTGGTAAGGTAGTAGGAATTGTTCCTAATTTAGCCAAGATCATACAGATTATAAATTACTAATCTGAGATTTATTTTCAAATTTTCTCAAAGTTT